TCGTTTCATTCAAACCCCCGTCAAGAAATTCCAATCAATATGATAAAGTTAAAGTCTCCTAAAATTTACTACATTATCGTGCCTTGTGGCCCTAACAGTTTCCTCCCATAGTAGTTTCCCTTGGTCCCTATCTAAGTTTGGGGGACGGTATATTACACCTAAAATAAATTTTTTAAGTCCCTCTGAAAATTTTATCCAAACAAACTCTGTATGTGTTACTTCAGACTTAATACCCGTTTTTATGCAACAGTTCAAGCGATCTCGGACATACAATGCCACCCCACCTCCCTTCCCGATACTTCTATCTACTTGGAACAATTTAAAACCCTGAATATGACATTTTGCAGGCATGTCCCGACTTTTTGAATTAAACCACGTCTCAGTTAAGGCAAATACATCAATGTTACCTGCACTAGCAACTAATCTCAACTCGTCCATCTTATTCCTAGCACTAAGGGTATTAGCATAATAAACATTTAATGACCCTACTTTCTCTTTACCCTTCCTGCTCATTTCAGTTTTTCCACTAAACCTATTACTGTCCTTATCGCCTAGTGTCACTGACTTTCCAATATCCATCTCATTTTGCCTATTACTAGTTCTTCTAGAACTCATAGTATTACTACACTGGGACTTCACTGTTTTCCTGCCAAAACCCATAACACTAACTATTCCTAGTTTAAAGACCTAACAGCTCCCTCCACTGCAGTTGCCAGTGCTACCATCCCAGACCTACATAAGTGAACCCCATCCCTGGCATACATGTCATTTCTGCCATAGAAGAGGTCCCAGTTGTCAATGAATGTTACCGCATTTTCCTTACAGTATTTGTCCAGCCAGCAATTGACACCAATTGCCCTGGACAACCATTCATTTCCTACCCCTCTCCTTGGCAAAATACTACATGTGACAGGGTTCCCACCCTTCCTCCTAATTATCTCTATTGCTGACCTATACCTGCTAATCAGGTCCTCGCTTCTACGTCTGCCATCATCGTTGCCTCCAGCACTGAGACAGATAATAGGATTGCTCCCATTACCTCTCATGATGTCATCCAGACGGCTAACAATATCCTCCATCCCAGCCCCAGGAAAGCAAACTCTCTGTCTCCTACTCCTGTCCTTCAAGCAGAACGCCCTATCCATTTATCTAACCTGGCTATCCCCAACAACAACAATATTCTTACCTTCCTTGTTGTTGTTCGTCGTGACGATCCCAGTAGTCGACTCACATTCGTTGGATAGCACCGAGAATGCGTTGGAGGTTTCCACAACAGTTTCCAAGCAGTCTTTCTTCTTCATCGTTTCTGGCTTTCCATTCTTCTTGATCATCAACTTCGTCCCCTGCTGTCCAGCCACTGACCACGATCCCTTCTTGACCTGAGGACTCGAAACAGGAGGATTACTACGAATCCTCTTGTTCTCCTCAGTCAATCGCTGTATCTCCATCTTCACTACCCTCAATTCTTCCTTAAGCTGCTGGTAAAGTTGCTCGATGGAGGGCATTTTGGTTCTTGGTTCAGTCCACGGGGAGCACACAGGACACTTCTTCACAGAGTTAAGTACAGGTCACCACTGAGTTAAGTACAGGTCACCAATGAGTTAAGTACAGGTCACCACTGAGTTAAGTACAGGTCACCACTGTTAAGTACAGGTCACCACACTATCAGAATATTTGATAACCCAATTTTCAATTCTTCCCAAGCAATAAGCTTTGATAATTAACTTATGCGCAAGTCCCACTCAAATCCAACCCCTCTCACTCATGTATTTATCCAACCTAAATTTGAAACTACCCAAGGTTTTAGCCTCAATAACCCTACTAAGCAGACTGTTCCGCTCATCAACTACCCTATTTCCAAACCAACACTCCCACATCCTTTCCAAATTCAAACCTGTCCAATTTGAATCCATTATTGCGGGTTCTGTCTTGGAGAGATATCCTCAAGACCTTATTTATATACTTATTATGTGGTGCAAGAAACAGCTAACGATATGTATTGTTATTGTTGTTTTGTCAGGTTTTGGCCAGAACTTCGCCACGTTGGTAGCGGGAAGGATGGTGGTAGGTGCTTGTATATGCGCTACCTGTGTTGTTGTGCCCACCTACGTAGGTGAAATCGCCTCCCCTGACATCAGAGGCATCTTAGGTGAACGTCTTTTTCCCCTAAGTTCACTTCTTGACGTTAATGATTAACAGTAAAAAAAATCTATATTCAGCATTTACTAATATAGAATAAGAATTTATTAGGCATCAATTAGAGGACTAAAAATAGTTTAATCATTAAAACAGGGACCAGTTATCAGTTTATGATAACTCTGGGGATGTTGTACGTGTACACGATGGGCGTGTTTGTTACAAACTGGAGATGGTTGGCGGCTCTCTCTGCTGTCCCAGCCGTACCTTACTTCCTCTCAGTCATCTTCATCCATGAGTCTCACACTTTTCTTCTGGCTAAAGGAAAGTTAGAGCAAGCGACGGCATCTCTACAACACTTCAGAGGTGAGCACAACAGTTCTTCCACGATATACCCGAAATATTATGCATCAGTATGAGTTTCTTCTTACAAGAAATAAGATAAGATCAGTTTGTGACAGAACCTACAAGGGGTAAAAACCTGCTTGACTTGGTTCTGGCAAACAGATAATCACTTGTTAATAATCTAGAAATTTCAGAGGAACTTGGCACAAGTGACCACAAATCAATTACCTTCAGCATTGAATGGAAGTATGATATTAGGGATAACTCAGTAAAAGTCCTAGATTTTCGCTTAGCAGATTGCGATGGGCTTAGAGAACACTTATCATCTGTTGACTGGGGTAACGAAGAGATCTATCAGTATGACAGATTTCTAAACACTTTACACGCTGCCCAGAGAAAATTTATCCCGTATAAAGAAATTAGATCGAGTAGAAATGACCCAAAATGGATGAATAATAGGCTCAAATATCTTTTAGGGCAGAAAAAAGGAATTTATAGGCGTATCAAAAGAGGTGAGGGTCATCTTATGAACCAGTTTATTGACATTAAGAGGGACATTAAAAAGGGGAAAAGAAAAGCTAAATGGGACTATGAAATTAAAGTTGCTAGGGACTCTAAAACTAACCCAAAAAGTTTTTTCCAGGTTTATAGAATAAAAGTTAGAGATAAGATAGGTCCCCTTAAAAATAACTATGGGCACCTTACTGACAAGGAGAATGAAATGTGCTCTATTCTTAATACTTATTTTCTCTCGGTTTTCACTCAGGAAGATACTAACAATATCCCAGTAATTAATTTTATAGTGGCCTTGAAGATGATAAATTATGCAATGTCAGTCACTAGCGATATAGTTATCAAACAGATAGACCGACTGAAGCAAAATAAATCCCCGGGACCTAATGAACTTTTTTCCAGGATTCTTAAAGAGTGTAAAATGGAAGTCTGTGAACCATTAACTAATATTTTTAATTTATCTCTTCAAACAGGTGTAGTGTCTGATATGTGGAAGATGGCTAATGTAATTCCTATTTTTAAAACAGGGGACAAGCCGTTACCGTCAAATTACCGCCCAATAAGCCTGACCTCAATTGTAGGCAAATTACTAGAGTCAATTATAGCTTAGATTATAAGAAGCCATCTCGATAAGCATAGCTTGATTAATGATACTCAGCATGGACTCACGAGGGGTCGTTCCTGCCTAAGTAATTTATTAATCTTCTTCAGTAAAGCTTTTGAGGCCGTTGATCAAGATAAAGAATTCGATATTGTTTATTTAGATTTTAGTAAGGCTTTTGATAGAGTACCGCACCACAGACTGTTAAAGAAAGTGGCAGCTCATGGCATTGGGGGAAAAGTGTTGTGATCGAGTCATGGCTCACTGACAGGAAGCAGAGAGTGTCCATAAATGGGGTTAAATCCGAGTGGGGATCAGTAACAAGTGGCGTTCCACAGGGATCAGTCTTGGGCCCGTTGTTTTTTTATAATAATATCAGTGACCTTGATGATGGTATTACTAGTGATATGAGCAAATTCGCCGATGACACAAAGATAGGTAGGATAATTGATTCAAACGTAGATGTCGGAACTTCAGGAGGATTTAAACAAACTCTATTCATGGTCAGAAAAGTGGCAGATGCAGTTCAATGTAGATAAATGCAAGGTTCTGAAGCTCGGGAGTGTCCACAACCCTAGCACTTATAAGTTAAATAATGTAGAACTTAGCCATACAGATTGCGAAAAGGACTTGGGGGTTATGGTAAGCAGCAACCTTAAACCAAGACAGCAATGCCTAAGCGTACGTAATAAGGCAAATAGATTATTGGGATTTATATCAAGAAGTGTAAGCAACGGAAGTCCAGAGGTCATACTGCAGCTTTATACATCATTAGTAAGGCCTCACCTAGATTATGCAGCTCAGTTCTGGTCTCCATATTACAGAATGGATATAAATTCGTTAGAAAACATTCAGCGTAGGATGACTAAATTAATACACAGCATTAGAAATCTTCCTTATGAAGAAAGATTGAAGACTCTTAAGTTACATTCACTTGTTAGACGAAGAATGAGGGGAGACCTGATCGAAGTGTATAAGTGGAAGTTGGGTATTAATAAAGGGGATATTAATAAGGTCTTGAGGATATCTCTCCAAGAGAGAACCCGCAGTAATGGATTCAAATTAGATAAGTTTAGATTTAGAAAGGACATAGGAAAGTATTGGTTTGGAAATAGGGTAGTTGATGAGTGGAATAGTCTACCTAGTTGGGTTATTGAAGCTAAAACGTTGGGTAGTTTCAAATTTAGGTTGGATAAATACATGAGAGAGAGGGGACGGATTTGAGTGAGACTTGCATAATGAGTAAATGGGTAGCATAGTAAATTGGGTTGGGCAAATATTTTGTTAATTGGAAGGATTGTAAAGGACCTGCCTAGTATGGGCCAACAGGCATGCTGCAGTGTTCCTCCTTTCTTATGTTTCTTATGAGAGAAATGATTTCGTTCGGATTTTTAAAACCGGAGGGTTAGCACTCAGGATAAACCAAGAAAGTCAGAGCGTCATCGAGGACTGTCTAACTTATTTCCATTGTGGTCCTCAGTCTTGTCCCCCAGGATGCGACCCACACCAGTCGACTAACACCCAGGTACCTATTTGCTGCTAGGTGAACAGGACAACAGTTGTAAGGAAACGCGTCGAACCCGGGCCCTCCGTGTGTGAAGCGGGAGCTTTAGCCACCAGGCCACCGGGGCACAATGTTAACCAACCATTGTAAGTTAAAAGTAGTAATAACCTACTAATGCAGGTTATTTCCATTGTAGGGTAATATCGTTATCAATATCATAACCAATATTAGATGAGAGTAAAAAACAAGGGGATTTTTCGTCACTGCCGACCAGCTTCAATAATGTATTTTTTATCATTGTTCTTACTGCATTATGCAGGTCACGACGACAAGTTCTCACACAGTGTGAGTTGAACACCGTTAGATTTCTTCCCTGAAGATTCTGCTGTTCTGATCGCATTTTATTTCCAGGAAAACATTATGACGTCCAAAAGGAGATTAATATGATCCAACAGTCACTGGAGGACGCCAAGAACAACAAGCCATCATTGAAGGAATTTCTGAGACCTCATAACCTGAAACCTTTCGTACTGTGTCTCATCATCTTCGTCTCCATACAAATGTCTGGATTGGGCCCTGTTTTATTCAATATGTCGTTCATATTTAAGGTAAACTAATAAGACTGTGGAAGATTTATTAAGAGACGTTTACCCAGGTGTCGTTACTCCTGTTGATATATTAATATACACAAATAATATTGTATTAAATGGCTTTATTCACTTGTGACCGATTTTCAGAGGTGGGTAGTAAATGCGTTATTCGGTACTGTATTATTTTTCTTCTATGTACTTGAAGTATCATATGTCCTCCACATTGTCATTTCTTCCCAGGCTTCGGGAGCGGATCTGGACGACAACGTTAGCACCGCTATTGTGGGCGTTGTACAGATCCTGGCAACTGCACTCAGCTGTGTACTTGTGGACAAGGCTGGCAGGAAGCTCCTACTTATTGTATCAGCTGCTGCCGTGTCTCTCTCACTGTGTTAGTCTATCCTTCCTACTATATCATATTTCTCACGAAGTTACTCTCTCCCTCGTACTACAGCACATGTCTCTCACTGAGTTATTTCTCCTTCGTACTACAGGATATGTCTCTCACTGAGTTACTCTCTCCCTCGTACTGCAGCATGTCTCTCACTGAGTTACTCTCTCCCTCGTACTGCAGCATGTCTCTCACTGAGTTACTCTCTCCCTCGTACTGCAGCATGTCTCTCACTGAGTTACTCTCTCCCTCGTACTGCAGCATGTCTCTCACTGAGTTACTCTCTCCCTCGTACTACATCATGTCTCTCATTAGGTTAGTCTTTCCTTCTTTCTCCATCACGTATATGGTATACCGTGGCCTGGTAGGCAACGCTCTCGCCTCACACACTGAGTGTCCGTGGTTCAAATCCTGGTTGGGTGGAAATATTGAGTTTGTTTCCTTACACCTGCTGTTCCCGTTTACTTAATAGGTAAGTAGGTACCTGGGTGTTGGTCGCATCCTGGGGGACAATACTGAAGGCTCACAATAGATATAAGACAGAGTCCTCGATGACGTACCAAATTTTTTGGTTCTCCAGGGTGGCTAACAAACTCTGATCTTATTTCTTTCCTTGAATAGTCTTATCCTAGTCATTACAACGAGGGATATTAGGTTAGGTTAGGTAAGGTTCGTCAGGAAACAGGACAAGTGTTTCCTGACGATGGTCTTAATCAGCTGATGACCCGCCTTTGGAGCTTTTGTTCATCTGACCGAGGCCTTCCGCTGGCTTACCGGTTCACCCCTTTAAAAATTATGGTCATAAACAACCATTTAGTTAGTCGAGTGAGTTAACAGGTGATCATTTACACTCAAGAGTCAGATCAAGATCCTAAATGTTCATTTTTCTTATTAATTATTATTAGTTATTATTCGTTATTATTAGTTATTATTAGTTATTATATCTTACACTTAATACTGTTTTTCTAAAACTTGTATTACATTCATTAAACTCTCAAACATATTTTGTTAGCAGAGGAACAGGATCTTGGGATTAATGAGAAATATTTCATCGTGTTGGACTTTAATAACGCTGAGTGATCAACTAGGCTATTGTGACTAAAACTATAATTCGTCTCCAGTAATATTAGAATTATCCTTTTTGCTGTTAATGTTAATATGTTAAACCTTAAGAAGGAAATTATCAACATTGATTGTGTATTTAACAATCAATTAGCAATCGTTTTCAAAATTAGATATAATGATCAGGTATCCCTGTGTAGGGGATGCGTTTTATGGTTGTTTTATTCCTCTATGGTTTCCGCACAATACCTGGAGAACATCTCTTGTGATTTGCTTGAAACTCTCGATGCCGGTGTCCCATACCTGGATGAAGATAGAATTATTTTTGCCTATTTTATTTTTTACCCTCCTTCAGTATGTCGATGCGGTAACTTGGGAATGTATGTACTGATCGGCTTCAAACTCTCAATATGGGTGCATATTATGTAGATGACAGCTTAGATTGTAATTTAGTTTTATAGGTATATTTTAATATACCTATATTTTAATATGCATATTTTAATATGCAAATAGTGCAGCAGTTTTCGTGCAATAGCTTGAGAATGCTTCCTTAGATTGGCTTCAAACTTTGAGCTCTTGTGCATCATATTTACAAGATTCAGATTTTATTGAAGGGTCACTCGGCCTAAAACCAAAATGGCCGAAAATCGAAATTGCCGAAAACCGAAATAATATTTCCCATAAGAATTTATGAAAATACAATTAATCCATTCCAGACACCTAACAAAAAAAAAAATTTTTTAATGATTAATTATAGTTTTACATACACAAAACTATGAGAACTAAATAAAATAAATACATGAACAATTAAATCAGTATTACATACCTTCACTGAAGACTCTTCTTGGCTTATGGAAGATAGGTAGGAGACAGGCTTGAGAGTCACTGTACCCCAGCGACTCACTCCACTTCACACACATGTCCTTAATCACTGAAGAAGGCATCTTCTCCCCTCTCTCTTCCTCCTCCTCCTCTGAAGCAATTTCCTCAGCTGTGGTCAGTTGCTGTTCAAGATGAAGGTCTTGCAGCTCTACCCTCTACCACCATCACTACCACCCTCTACCACCATCACAACAACTACCACCCTCTACCACCATCATTACCACTACCATTCTCTATCACCATCACTACCACCCTCTACCACCATCACTACCACCCTCTACCATCATCATATCCAATACCACAATCACTACCACCATCACAACAACTACCACCATCACTAACACCCTCTACCACCATCACAACCACTACCACCATCACTACCACCCTCTACCACTATCACAACAACTACCACCATTACTACCACCCTATAACGGCCGATAACCGGAAGCCGAAAAACCGGCCAATAACCGAGTTGGCCTATAAGTGGAACGGCCGATAACAGAGGGTCCACTGAATATATATATTGTTGCATTTCATTATGTTTACTAGCCATGTAAGCTACATAATAATATTATTGGTAATGTTTTACTCTGTTCTTCTTCTTGCTTCTTGGTAATGTTTTACTCTGTTCTTCTTCTTGCTTCTTGGTAATGTTTTACTCTGTTCTTCTTCTTGCTTCTTGGTAATGTTTTACTCTGTTCTTCTTCTTGCTTCTTGGTAATGCTTTACTCTGCTCTTCTTCTTGCTTCTTGGTAATGTTTTACTCTGTTCTTCTACTGCTTCTTGGTAATGTTTTACTCTGTTCTTCTTCTTGCTTCTTGGTAATGTTCTACTCGCTGCTTCCTTATTTTCTTCTGATATCTACTTTCCAAAAATTCTCTTCATTTAATAAAAATTGTCTCTGAAAATATAAGAGAAAGTAGTTAGGCAGCTCCTTTGAAATTTCTTTGGAGTTTCTTTAATAACTTCCATTAATGGCAGCAACTGAAGAGGTCGACAGGATAAATTATATGTATTTTGTAGATGTTGCATAGAACTTTTAAATTAAATTTTTGCAATAAAATTTATTTTTAATATACTCTTAAAATTAATGTTTTTGCAGTTCTAAACTAACTAATCAGTTTTCTTACTGTTTGTTACTTCTGTAATTTTTATTTTGTCTCTGTATATAAATTATTAAACGTTATTTTGAATTTTTTATTCGTCACATTTTTGTTATGATTGTTGTAGCAATTTGTTAAATCATATATTAACTTTTATCAAGAAATTATAGTTGTTGAAAAGTTAAAATACGTTTATCAGTTACGGGTTTAAAGCCAGATTGAAGAATAAGCTAACTGAATGTTTTGCTCAATTTTTATGTGTTAGAGTGACATCTTGCCCCTTTGTTCTTAACTGAATGCGTATCACGACACAAATTTTACACTTATTGGGATTATACCGCGTGTTATACACTGCTGTTTCCCTTTACCAATAGTTTTCCTAGTGGAGATTGACAGTATTTCAGAGTTTACCGCACAAAGTCAGTATTTTCTTTGTTCTCAGCAGAAGATTTCTAACGTGTGTTCACGCTCTTGTGTCTGAGTTCAACATAGACTGGTCGCCCTGCCCAAGCACCCACAGTTACCCTCCGCACAAAAGAACTGCTGAGTTAAACTTTATATACCTTCCTTACTACATATTGCAACAGTATTCAATACAAGAGGTAAGTTTCTTGTTAACTAGCTATAGACTATCATTCCCAATAGTCCCAACTTGTAGATAAAGTGGGATGCAGGTTTTATCTTAATTTTTCTGCTAAGGGAAAGAGTATTTACTCTCGTTTAACGGTCACTGTGTAGCTGATCAGGAACCTGACAAGGAGAGGATACATAAATATGTTCTTCATTAAACTGTTTGCGAGGATGGAAGAGTCCACTAGCCCCTTCCGGGAGGGTTAAGTCCCTCAGAGGGCTGAGGGGGCAGGCTGAGAGATGCCCCTTTACTGGAGAATTTTCTCCACAGAGGCAGCGATAAGGTTAAACTATGACAATAAGAAATGACACATGTGTGAAGAATACCCATTTACAGAGTTTCACCCTGTGTAGAGTGATTGCTTTGAAGGTTTATCTAGAGTAAGCTTATAAAAACTCTCTCTACAACCGTATTTACAGGCTAAACTACTAATTTTGTTCATGGACAAAATACCCATTTTAATTTTTTTTTCTGTGTAATATTAATTTTCTCCAAACCAGTTGTGTGTGAGTATATATATCTCATTTTAAAGTGTAAACATTTACTTCCTCGCATTAGTGGCTCTAGCGGAGTACTTCTACATGGAGGAGAGAAACAGTGAGTGGACGGCAAAGACTCTGGGATGGCTGCCTCTCACCTCACTCGTTATCTTCATCGCCGCCTTTTCTATCGGCCTTGGTCCCGTCCCCTGGGTCCTCATGGGTAAGAGCTTCCTGCATGACAGTGCCCTCTTGTATATTCTGTTTTTCCTTGATGATGAAGAACATAGAATTTTTGACCGTAGATTATGAGGGTAACACTGCGAGAGTTGATATTTATTAGAGTATTTAATATTGACCTAGACGTGTAGAGGGAAGCTGTATGTGATTATTATTTTTCTGTTTCCCAGGTGAGATGTTTTCTCCCAGAGTGAAGAGTATAACTACAGGTATTATCAACATGGCTGGCTGGTTTGCTAGCTTTGTTATGACTCTCACCTTCCTGCCTCTACGAGTAAGCCTTGCATTGTGTGATAATTCTTGTATATAGATACTATAAGTTCCTTTTAGCTAACAATTCGTGCATGAAGTTCCTAAGCTCTAATCACTCTTGTTTGGTAATAGTGAATTTAACATACTGAAAGTAATGAAGGAAGAACTTGGGATGTAGAACAACCGTCGCATATAAATACAAACTCTTCCACAGGACGTACTCCATGACGATGGCGTCTATCTGTTGTTCGCCTGCGTAGCCTTCTGCATCCTTCTGGTCCTTTTCCTGGCGCTGCCGGAGACAAAGGGCATGACCCTACAGGAGATCACAGCATATTTCGGTGGGCCAAAATTCGACTCCACTCGCAGAGATCCATCGAAAAAAAATGATACAGAAAATGCTTGACTGGAGATCATGTCCTGTAAATCGATTCCGTTTCTCAATCATAACAAATCTGATCAGATGTCAGTATACAGAACTTCTGCACTGATTGCTACCTTAATTGTAACAATACGATGCTTTATAAAAATGTAATTAAAGTATAACTAGCAACAATGTGTTGATTCATTCGCATTTTTAAATGAGGCTCTTTGACACCCACAGTTTGTGCAATGTTAATTTGCAAAGTATTGGAAAGTATAGTTTACAAGAGACAAGTGTGGCACTTTGAGACCCATACCATTCCACCACTGACTCTTCTTTACGTTTTGTTACATTCAATTGCCTTTGCTGAAGGTTATTTTTATTGTTACATTCTCATGGAGGACTGAATTCAGAGAGGTCACACAGCACCTCGAGGAATGGGAGACATTCAGCTTTCATCCAAGGAAAGGCAAGAGAGGACCGACTCCTACATTCAGGAACCACGGAATCAAAGAACTTCTCTAGAAGACTACTGAAACTGAATCTGTTGGCTCGCTTTTTTCACTATGAAAAATTCTACGACTCTACCTGGCAGTATCATCTTTGGTTTCAAATCCACTTTTTTTTTGTGACTCTCAGGACTATTATATCAGGTAGATATTTTTATGTCGAAATCAGCAACAGCTCTTTCCAGACTTTAATTATGCTGAAGGAGTTTCTAATATCCCTCAGTATTTCTAATATCCATCAATGGATATTAGAATACTGCCTCAGAGAATTTTATTTTTCTTATATGTGGATGATTTCGCTATTGTTACAGAGTTCAGTTACCGTGACTTCCACTAGGGGACATTTTCACTCCTCTTGTGATCATTTTCCTTTCCTCATTCTCCGTGTGCAGTTCCTCCATCCTGGAATGCCAAATTCTTCTTTTTTTTTTTGGCGTCTTATTTGACTGTCGGGGTTTTTCGCACTTTTATGCCTTCATAAGTAAAAGGACACAAGTGCAGCAAGTACCTTGTCTTATCTAAACTCGACTATGATGTATAAGAATTCCCTCAGCATCAGTAACTACTGGAGTTTGATGATATCCATAATCATGGTGTATTTGTGTCCGGGGGTCTTTAGTTGTCCCCGCTAAAATACCGAAAAGAATATCCATCTTTTTGAGACATGAAAATTCTGGTTAGTTACCTTGCACTTACAAAGGTTTTTATGAAACCAAACGTATGAACCTACTACTAAGAAGCAACGCTTTAGTCGGGTTTTTTCGTTATTAAATTTTAATTCGTCTTTAACTTTGTTGCTTTCCAGAAATCCCCTTTATCTTTTTGTTTTTGCCCCATCATTTCTCCCCACTTGGAAAAACTCGGTGGGCTTGTATTATTTTTCCCCCCCTTCCATTATCTATTATTGCATCTTGACTGAGACATGTTTGGGGTTTGGGGGTGGTTTTGGGGGTGGGGGTGGGGGTGACTGTGAGGTTCTCGGGGGGCTGGGTTGTGGGGGTGGTTTTCTGGTCTGGTGGTTTGGTTGATGGTTTTGGTTTTTGGGTGGGTTTTGGGGGTTTTTTGGTGGTGGGGGTGGGGGAGGTGGTTTTGGGGGGGGGACGGTGGTGGTTCTATGGTGGGGGTGGTTTGATGGGGGGTTTTCCCGGGAGTAGGGTCGTGGTTTTGGTGGTGTGGGGTGATGCTTCTGGTGGGGTTCTGGGGGGTTTCTGTTGGTTTTTTTGGGGTTCTGGTGGTGGGGGTGGTTTGGTGGTGGTGGGGGTTTAGGGGGTGGTGGTTTTTTGGGGGTGGTTTGGTTCTGGTGGTGGTGGGGGTTTGGTGGTGGGGTTTTTTTGGGGGTGGTTCTGGTGGTGGTGATGGTTTGGTGGTGGTGGTTTTTTGGGGATGGGGGTGGGGGTGATGTTCGGGGGAGGTTCTGGGGGTGGTGGTTGGTTCTGTGGGATGGTGGTTTGGTGTGGTGGTTTTGGTGGTGGGGTTTTGGGGGGTGGGGGGTTTTGGGGGTTGGTGGTGGTTCTCGTGGGGTGGGTTTTGATGGTGGTGGGTCTGGTGGGTTTGATGAGGTGGTGATTCTGGTGGTGGTGGGGGTTCGTTTTGGTTTTTATGGTGGTGAGGTGGTTCAGTAGTGGGGGTTTTTGGGGGTGGTGGTTCTGGGGGAGGTTCTGGGGGTGGTGGTGGTGGTTCGGGGGTGTGGTGGGTTTTGGGGTGGTGGTTTTGGTGGTGGTGGTTTTGGGGTGGGGTTTTTGGTGGGGTGGTTTTTGGGGGTGGGGGGGTTCTCGTGGGCTGTTTGATGGTGGGGTCTGGTGGGTTTTGAGATGGTGGTGATTCGGTGGTGGGGGGGTTCGTTGGTTTTTATGGGGGTGATTTGGGGGTTTAGTATTTGGGGGTTCGGTGGTGGTGGTTCTGGTGGTGGTTCTCGGGTGCTGGGTTTTGGTGGTATGGGAAGGGTTTTGTTTGGGTGGTATGCTTCTGGGTGGGGTTCTGGTGGTGGTGGCCTGTAGTGGGGTTCTGGTGGCGGTGGTAGTTTGGGGGTGGTTCTCAGGGGGTGGTGGTTCGGTTGGGGGTGGGTTTTTGATGGTTTGGTTTGGTGGTGGTGGTTCTGGTGTGGGGATGGTTCTGGGGTGGGGATGGATGGTTCCGATGGTGGGGGTGGTTCTGTGGTGATTATTTGGTGGTGGGGGTTTGGTGGGGGGTGGCGGTTCTGGTGGTGTGGGGGTTTTGTCGGTTTTTTGGAGATATGGGGTTTGGTGGTGGTGGTTTTGGTTTGGGGTGGTTCTGGTGGTGGGGGTTCTGTTGTGGGTTTTTATGGTGGTGATTCTTTGGGGGGTGGTGGGGGTTTCGTGTTGCTGGTTCTGGGGTGGTGGTTCTGGTGATTGTGGGGGCTTGGGGGTGATGATGGTGGTTTTTGTGGGGGGTGGGTTTGGGGTGGTGGTTTTGGTGGTGGTGGTGCTGTTTCCCTTCTGGTGGCAGTCTGGTGGGGGTGTGGTTCTGTTGGTTTTTTGGGGTTCTGGTGGGGTGTTTTTGTGGTTGGGGGGTTCTGTTGGGGGTGGTTTTTGGGGGGGGTGGTTCTGTTGGGGGGTTGGGCTTGGTATTGTTTGTGGTGTGGTTCTGGTGATGGTGGTGGGTTTTGGTTTGGTGGTGATTCTGGGGGGGTGGTTCTGGGGGTGATGGTGTTCTGATGTGGGGGTTTGGTGGTGGTGTTTGGTGGTGGTGGTAGTTCTGATGGTGGTGGGGGGTAGAGGTTTTTGGTGGTGGTGAGCGTTCTGGTGGTAAGATGGGGGTTTTTTTGGGATGGTGTTTTGGGGGTGGGGGTTCTGGGGGGTGGTTTCTGGTGGGGGTGGGGGTTCTGGGGGTGGGGGTTCTGGTGGTTGGGGGGTTTGGTGGTGGGGTTCTAGTGGGGGTGGGGGGTTCTGGTGGTGGTGGGGGTTCTGGTGGGGGTGGTTCTGGTGGTGGTGGTAGTTCTGGTGGTGGTGGTGGTTGTGGTGGTTCTGGTGGTGGTGGGTCTGGTGGTGGTGATGGTTCTGGTGGTGGTGATGGTAGTGGTTCCGATGGTGGTGGTGGTGTGTTTCTGGTGGTGGTGGTTCTGTGTTGATGTGATGGTAGTTCTGGTGGTGGTGGTTCTGGTGGTGGTGGTGGTTCTGGTGGTGGTGGTTCTGTTGGTGGTGATGGTTCTGGTGGTGGTGATGGTAGTGTTTCCCGGTGGTGGTTCCGGTGGTGGTGGTGGTTGTGTTGCGTGATTTGTTCTGGTGGTGGTGGTGGTTCTGGTGGTGGTTATAGTGGTGGTTCTGGTGGTGGCGGTTCTGGTGGTGGTGGTAGTTCTGGGGTGGTGGTGGTGGTTGTAGTGGTGATGATAGTTCTGGTGGTGGTGGTGGTTTCTGGTGGTTTGGTGGTGGTTCTGTGGTGGTGGTGGTGGTTTGGTGGTCGTGGTGGTTCTGGTGGGTGGTGGTTCTGGTGGCGGTGGTTTCTGGTGGCGGTGATGGTTCTGTTGGTGAAGGTAGTGGTTCCGGTGGTGATGGTGGTTTCTGGTGGTGGTGGTTCTGTTGGTGATGATAGTTCTGGTGGTGGTGGAAGTGGTGGTGGTTCTTGTACGACATATGTATGTCGTGCCGAATAGGTAAAACTTGCGATTTTGGCTTAAATATATTTCATTGTGTTTGTGTATTATTAAATTGCTGTAAACTTATCTAAAATATAATTAGTTGCATTACGCTAAATTAAATTGCGCTTGTTATAATAAGGTTAGGTAAGTTTTCTATGGCTCTTTTGGTACAATACTATTAATTTTTATATTAACGTAAATGAAAAGAATATATATCTTTAAACGTGTAAGAGCAAATTTTCGAAAGGACTTAATTTAAAATGAGTTCTTGCTAATTTGCCAGTTTTACCTATTCGGCACGATATATATATATATATATATATATATATATATATATATATATATATATATATATATAATATATATATATATCAACACTGATCTCTGGCTGAAGGAGATTCGAACCTACGAACCTTGGAACAAGGTACGCAGTGCATTACCATTCTCACCACACTGGACCAATACCTTGGCGTCCAGCTTGCAGGGAGAACAGCTTTTCATCCATCCCCTGCATGCATCAGCCTTACTAGAGATTTTAACAATGTAAGGAATTCGCAAGAGCAGGTGAAATATACACAAACACTTATCTCTGTTTGTGTATATTTCGCCTGCTCTTGCGAATTCCTTGCACTATATATATATATATATATATATATATATAATATATATATAATATATATATATATATATATATATATATATATATATATATATATATATATATATATATATATTATAATATATATGTGTGTGTGTGTGTGTGTGTGTGTTGTTTAAATGTTTATACATTAGTGTACTGTATACTGTAATAAACAGAATACAGAAAATCAGCTCTAATATACATTACTTAGGTTTGTATACTGGTGGGAAACTGGTCGTATGTCCGAGTCCGAGCGGTCCGTCCGTGAGGCATCTGCAAGGTGTGCCACAGGGAATGTGCACTCAGTCCCTCAACTCGCAACATTCGTGCACACCATGGATGTCTAGGCTCCAGGAAGGCTCCAAATGGGAACAACCAACAGCCCCTCCCAGGAGATGGAGCTGGCATCTACCCTGACTTCTCCCACTTTGTGTTAGATTCT